GGAGGGCGGACGCCTGAGAGGGAGGAGCGGGGAGAGGCGGCGGCGGCGGCGCTCCAGCCGTGATTCTTCCGTCCGGAGGGCCTCCCCTTTTCCCATCCTCACTTCGGGCGTCCCTGTTGTTGGCGTCCCCCCCCGTCCCCCCCCCGAATGACCAACTCGCGTGCGGGGCAGTCCTCTTACCGAGGCACACAAATGTTCCAATTCAAAGAACTGACAGTTTATGAGCGGCTGATAAAGGAGGAAAGTGGGGGAAGGGAAGGTTAGCAATGAAAGACCAGGTTCGATAGATAGGCCACCCCACCCAAAGGCCAGAAGAGGAACCGTCTACCCGCCTCTTGCTAGAGCGTCGCGCTTTCCGGGAGGCGAAGGGCCGGCCCTCCGAGAGGAAGGGCTAGAGCGGACGTCTCCCTTTTGAGAGAGAAGGCCTGCATTTTCATTTCCTTTCCTTCTTTTCTTTTTTCTCCAGGAGAACACGATGGCCAACTGTAATTCTCCTGTGTCCTCACCGCCACCCCTTTAAGTCTTAAATTAAGGGATCTTCCAAAAGAGCTGCCTGCCATGCGAACAATGGATTAGGGGAGTGGGTGCTCTTTTCTTGCCGTGGAAATCATTGAACCCACAGAAGAGGAGTCCCGCCTGGTGGTTGTTGTTGTTTATAAGAGGCATTGCAATTGGTTTTTAATGTTTTTTGCTTTTATTTCTGTTTTACGAGCTGTAGCCCACACAGACTAATGATGTGGCGCTAAGGCTAAGGGGAGCGGGATTCAAATTGAATAAATAAAAAATAAAATTCATCTGTTTCTTAATATCCTAGTAAAGTGTGTTCTTTAAAGTACATTCCTCGCCGGCCGGTTTTACATCTGAACTTGCATGGGTAATTTTCCTGTTGAATGTGCAAAGGGGTTGCCAATAAAACCCGAAAATTCTCATTCCCCCCCCCACCTGCATTCTCTTTTGTCTGAGCGCGTGTGTTACTTTTTAGACTTCAGGAAACGGCGTTGGGACCATGAGTTTCTTCTCTTACTTTAGCTACGGGACGTGGACAATGGTAAAGAAGATCCAGGCGCAGACATCTGGTAGCTTATCAATTAAACAGTGTACATATTAAACAGCTGCCTAGAGTGGTCAAAATGACCAGA